ATAACGGAGGCCATCTCAGCAACATTGAGTTGAGAAGTAGTGACCACCTATAAACCAACGATAAGATAAAAAAAAACTAAGAGAAGTTGATAAGAAACTGGAAAAGAGCCAAGGTGAACCTGTTGAGATGCCCCAGTAATGGGAGGAAGGTCTCTTGACATTTCTCGAGAAGACTCAATTTGAATGACTTCAACATCCTACGATGAGCAAAAATGGTAAGAAAGTCGAGGAATCGGGGAAATATAATCAAAGTCAAGAAATTGAAGTACCTTGGGAATGGACTTCATCGCATCCTTAAGCAGCTTCTCGACAGGAGGGTTCTGGGTTTTCTTCCGAAGAGGTATCACCAACTTCCCATTTCCTTTGTCAAGCTTCTTTGTGGTCGAGACCTACAAGAAACTCGAGATGATTAAAGCTCGAAATAGAGTAAGAAAAACATGGTAAGGTAAAAGACTATTCACCGTCTTGGTGCTAGTCGAGTCCGCCTTTTGTTTTTTCGGGGCCTCGAGGTTCTAAAGAAATAAAAAAAAGGGAGATTAAAGAGAAGTATGAGGTATAGAATGAATTCAGAAGTTGAATCGAAGATCGAAAGGAGCTTTACCTTGGAACGCAAAGAAGCCTTGTCAGAAGTGATCTTTCTTTTTCGACCTTTAAGTGATGCTCCTTTCGCATCATCATCATCACTCTCCCAATCGGGAGTTTGTTCAACGTGTTGGGGAACACGTTGAGAAACAGCAGTTGTATAACATAGCATGGCTAAAAGATGAGATAAATACAACAAAAAATTCGAGAAAGTTTCTTGGTCATAGTCATTTACCAGGGGGAAGATTAGTGTTATCGACCCAACATAGTGGCCACCATCTTCTTCGAGGAAAATCATACAGGGAACATCTCGCATAAGTAACTCGATTCTTTACAGGGATCGCTTTATGCTCAAGGTAAAGTGGGTCGAGTGTTTTTACCCAAGGAGGGTAAGACAAATATTTAGCTAAACCAAAAAGAGCATTTGGAAGAGGGGGTATATTTTTAGGACAAAATTTTGCAAAATCAGTTTTTCCTCGAGGGTTAATTACCTTTTTCGAGCGAATGTTCCTCTGTACCATTTTCGATAGAGAGATGGATGCATCGAAGATGGTTCGACTAATGTTGTCAGGTCGATAACAGACTTTAAAAAATTGCTCAAATTGATAAATAATGATTCGGTTCTTGAAAGTACCTGATTGTTTTGGTCCCTACGAAGAAAGAGGAGAATTAATCAGCTTCTTCAGAAAACAATCAAAGTTGACAAGTTTATCTACATAATATTCACACCACCATCGAAGGTAACATCTCGAGACTAAGAATGAGGGAGAAAAAGTGGATGGTGTGAGCGTGAGTTTCTTGTCGGGGCGGAGAATGAAATCTAGGACTTCTTGATAGTTCCCTTCTTCGACACAAATATCATCATCAATGCCCTCTTTACGTCGAAGAGGAAGGGGTTTCATTTGGGAAAGGCCAAATTGTCGAGCAAAAAGTTGAGGTTGATAAGGATAAAGCCTAACATCTTTCTGCCTCATACCCGAAATTATGACGTCCCAAGATAGAAATCCAAACCACATGTCAGTTGAGTCCGGGCTTATGTTTCTAACCTGATTATTCTGTCGAAGCCATGACGGACCTGTCAAAGTGGGTCGAATAAAAGGAGCTAAATCCTCACTAAATTCCGTAAAGCTGAGAATGGCGTCAATATATGTTGCAAAATTATGTATTACTTAAATCTTCCTTTATGTTGTTCCTTTTCATGCTAGCTTACTCTTTTGTTGTTTCCATGTGGTTGAACTGCAATGATCATACTATGTATGGGAGCAGAGCAGGGATAGGTGGTGACTAGTGGTGAGTCTGTAGCTGGCAGGCGGAGCTGACTCCTTTTGATGTTTTGTTTGTTTCAGCCGCTTGATATAGTGGTTTTGGATGTATTTTTGTATTGTACACCCTAACTCTAGTCGAATTGGGACATTGTATATATTTATATTCTAGATCCTATATTTATATACTCGTTCTATTCTGTCTAGTGTTTCCGGTGCGCTGTGGTTGTGAGTGTAGTGGCCAGTCGGGTCGTTACACTTTCCTCGAATAATTTTCTCCTAAATATTTTTATATATAAGTAATATTACAAAATAAACTGCTACCCAAAAAAATTAAAAATAAACAAATATATCAAAATAAAAAGAAAAATGGATATTATATAGTATTTATATTATATCAAAATAAAGGGAAAAAATTTGGTAAAAATATTTTAATAATTACTAATAATTATTATGTTTTTACAATATTATAAAATAAATTCATCCTGAAAATAATTATATATATATATATATATATATATTTGCTAGGATGGATGATGATAGAGCTGCAGCTAGTGCAGCAAGACCAGTTGGGTCACAGGAGAGCCGGGACCTAGCTGAGTTCTGGAAATGTCATCCTCCACAGTTCAAGGGAGATGCAGACCCAGGGGTAGTTGACCACTGGATCTGTGAGCTAGAGAAGATCTTCATTGTGTTGGAATGTTCTCAAGAGAGGAGGCTAGCATATGCTGTCTACATGCTGGTTGGGGAGGTTGAGCATTGGTGGAGAGGTACTCACCATATGCTTACTGCTAGAGGAGGAGCTGTTGATTCAGCTGGTCAAGCTGAATCGTTGTTGAGGGACGAAGCAGAGTGTTGTCTTCTGCTTGCTGCTATGAGTGTGGAGACCGAGAGGGTCATTGCTGAGATTGATGTGGTGAGAGATTTTTACTGAGATGTTCCCTGATGAGGTGCCGCAATTTTGTTGTAGTGATTATAAAATAAAGTACTACTGACAATAATTAAGAAAACAAATATTAAAATAAAATAAAAATTATATAAAATTATTTTTATAATTACTAATCATTATTAAATTTACACAATATTATAAAATAAAGTGTTACTAAAAATAATTTTAAAAATTTATATTAAAACAATTATATCAAAATAAAAGGTCAAATTTAGATAAAATTATGTTAATAATTACTAATCATTACAGTCCGGACAAAAAAAAAACTTTAATATATAATTTAATCAATAAAAATGATATTAACAAATATCAAAAATTTTAAATGACTTAAATCATATAAAAAATTGAAACGTTTTTATGAAGTATCAAATGATTAAAATCGGTTAAATCATTTAATTAAAATTTTTTATAGTATTAATTAGTGTTAATAAAAAAAGTTATAGTATTATTTACTCTAAAATATTATTATAAAAAATTATTTACCCTAAAATATTATGCGCAGTATAATATTATTATTTTTTTTAATTCAGATATACACTTTCTCTAAAATCATTATCAAGGTTTTAGTTGTTTATCTTTCCATTGTATAAAAAATACATAAGTTAATCTTATGATTTGATTTTTAACACAAGCTTAAACTTTTAGATAATTCTAACACACACACTAAAATTACTAACATTTGACATATGACTATAACATGCTGACATGAAAGATATACAACATTTTTTGTGTGTGTGTGTGATAACCAATTTTGTTTGAGTAAATAAAAATAAAAATATCTAAAATAAATATATAAAAGTAGTCTTCCTGAAGCATGCAAAAGCTTAAAATCAGAAATCAAGCTAGCCTATCAATTTCTATCATTGTCACCACTTAAATCAACAGACGAATTCAAGATCAACATTATCTGCATATACCATCACCCAACAACAAGCACCCCATAAGCATTATATTTTTCTATGTGAATCATTAGCCCCATGAACAATATCTCATACTAAATATGAGATGTGCTCTTAGTTTGAGACTCATGACAAGATTTGATGAGACTTGATTTATAAATTTCTGCATGCTTTATGATGGAGCTCTGTGATGTTGACTCTGTGGTTCAATAGCGTGAGATGATGAGTGGAAGGAAAAATAATAAAGGTTCATGAATAATCCATTTTTATATATACTTTTTTTTTTTTTAACTTTTTAATATTTTTAATTCAAAAAAATGGGTATCACACGTAACAAAAATATGTTGTACATCCTTCCTTCTTTTATTTATTTATTTTTTAGTTTTGCAAAAAAAAATCTTTTTCTTTTTCTTTTTTCTTTTATTTTTTTACATTTTCATTATTTGTTTGTTTATGAACATTATTTTAATTTTAAAATTTTAATATGATTATTTACAAAATGAATAAATAAAAGAAAATAAAAATAAAATTTGAGACAAAATTAAGTGTACAATTAATTTTGATCCAAAATTAAGGATCCTGATTGTGAGATTTTTGTCCTTAAAATATCGTGTTTGTGAGATTTTTATCCTTAAAATATTATATTATGTAATTTTGATTCCTACTTTTATGTAATGCACGTACACATAGTTGTGCTAACTTGCCACTAACATGTCATGTCAACAAATTTTGTTAAAAATTTGATGACATACTAACGTTATATCAACATTGTTGAATTAGAATAATGTTAGACCAAGTGTACAATATAAAAGTTCTGAAATTAAAATTGTACAATTTCAATATTATAAAAGTCAAAAATAAATTTAAGGTTTTTTTATAATGGAAATGAGTTTATCTTGGTCTAAAAATGAATAGAGTTTAATCTTGAACAGTAAATAAGGATTTTTACACTATAACTAATTAAAATGTATTCTATATATAACTTTTAAATAATTATTAAAAAAGAAAATATTACTACCGACATGTATGACATTAGATGATTGGTTGAGAGTGTCTAATAGTCCAAATAAAAATGTATATATATGCAAATACCAATAAATTTTTTTAATATGGAAAAAATAAAATACTATATATAATATATATAAGTAGTTATTTTCCCAAGACAACGGTCTAAAATTGTCAAAGGGTGTTTATGGTTGACATAGGTCTCTGGTTTCTCGCGGTACCTTCCATATGTTTCTTATTTTTCAACGAAAATGAACACAATTCTCAGACTCGTATTGTTTCAACCATCCCTTATTCCTTTTCTATTGCTTGTTCCTCGCTTGTACAAAAATCCATCACCACATTTGGGTTTGTGTACCACACACCACAACCTTGTTGCCCTCAAACTTTAGGTGCCCATCTAACATTATTGCATTTTATAAGGTTTTGATTGCATTGTCTTACTTTGTTTAATCATTTCACAGATAACTTTGTAAAAGGTTGGTTGCATTCTGCTTGATGGTTTTGACTGTTGTTGTCTCTGCCACGATTTTGGGTTTCTTTAATTGCATGTCTTACTTTGTCTAACTACTTTAGAGAAACATGAACATTTCGGTTCATGAAAGCACGAAACTTTATCATAGTGTGGTCTCATTGATTATTACCTCCTTCAGCAAGTAAATTAGTGATTTTAAAAATTTAGATGCACGAGTTCATTCTCAATGTTATTTTTTCTTTGTTAATAAATTTTACCATGTATAGTATGCACCAACAGGTTAACTTGGTTCATTTTTTTCCCTGGATTCGAGTGTTGTATTTTCTTACCCTCTATGTTGTGCTTCTGTGAGATAATCCATTTTAATTTTACTCTAATTTTTTCCTTCAAGTAACCATTGTCGAGAAAATTTCCTCATGTATTTAGACTATGATTGGTTTTATTTATTTTTATTTTAGTAACTGTCCTTTTGTGTTTAAGGTTTCCTAAACCCCTCTCATATTTAGTCAACCATATGTTAATGTAAGTTCCAGTCATGTAATTTAATGCCACATGTTAATGAATCTAATTAGAATACACTAATGATAATGTAAAACTTGAACCATAGGTTCGGTTTGGTGATAAGGGTTGGATTAATATATACAGAATTTTCGTTTTCAATTTCTAATGCTGTGATAATCCTGATGGATAAAACAAAATGGTAGTGTAAACTTTTACAGTGTCATATATGATTGTGGATTATCACAAAAAGGGAAATTTCTAATTTTCTAATTAATTAACTGTGTAAACATCTTTAGACTTTTGTATCAAAATTACTTAATTTCCTTTTTCTTTATGGTGTTAATTTGTGCAAGAAGGTGAAAATGTTTGGGTTTAGGAAAGCAGCACCACCTCCAACTGAAACGGATAAGACAACCACCCTTACTGCAGACAGAAGAACTACATCAGAACCAATCCCCTCAGTTCCAAAATCTACAGGAAACTATTTTTATGAGGACGATGATGATTGGGGGAGGAAGCCACCCTCCACTGCATCAAAAGACAAGAACAGGTACAAGAATGGTTTCAGTAACTCTGGGGGGTTAGAGAATCAAAGTGTTCAGGAGCTAGAAAACTATGCAGTGTACAAGGCTGAGGAGACAACAAATTCTGTTAACAATTGTTTGAGGATTGCTGAGGACATCAGAGAAGATGCCACAAGGACCCTTGACATGTTGAACCAGCAGGGTGAGCAAATAACCAGAACCCACAATATGGTTGTTGACACTGAGAAGGATTTGAGCCGGGTATGAGTGTCTGGTTTCTCATTTTTGTGTTTCAACTTTTTGTTAAGTTTCAAGTGATATTTATCTCTAACAAGGAGTATTTTGGTAGCTATTGAGAATATGAATCAGTATCTATTATTGGATTTTTTTAGAGTTTATGGTGAAATTTCTCCTGTCATGACTGTTTGTTACAAGTTATTATCATAGTACAATTAATAGCTTGTGGGTTGTTACAAATTTATGAGTAGCTTTTCTTATTATGCTTTTCTTGTATTTATAGATCGTAAGTCTGATCAGAAATGTATGAGTTATAGTCTTCATTCTTATCGTGTTTTCTCTGATTTATTTATTTTTATTAATTCCAACAGTAACTAACGTTTTAATGTTCTTAAATATTTCTGACATATTTCTTTAATTAGAATTATGTCTCAATAATTAATATTAAATTTTAAGATAAACTTTTATTAGACGTATTACTAAGGCAAAGCATTAATTATGATTGAAAAATAACATTAAAAATTGTAACTAACCAACCTTGTGCGCATTCTTTGGCATATTCCTGTGCTAATAATAAACATTTTAAACAAATCTTGGTTTTCCACGTAGAGAATATAGGTTACTTTTCTTGAGGGTTTTGAATCATGGTTATAGATGTTTTTTTACAGTTTGTGATTACAATCTATCATGGTTCAAATTCTGGTTGCATCACTTTTAAACCTGCATGCATGCTATATTGGATTAATAGTAGAAAGAAAATTAAAATTAAAATGTAATGCTATGATTTGACTAGGGTGAAAAACTCCTAAACAATCTTGGGGGCATGTTCTCCAAACCCTGGAAGCCAAAGAAGACCAAGGAAATCCAAGGCCCTATAATTACACCAGGTATTTTTTCTCACCCTTCATTTATATAACTCAACATTTTGGTTCCATGAACCAGACAACAAACAATGGTATAAGAATGTGGTGTCTGAACAGATAAGCCATCTAAAAAGGATGTACATAATAAGGAAGATCGAGAGAAGTTGGGCTTAGCTCCTTTACCAAAGGGACGCTCAGCCCCTACCACACCTCCCAATGAACCAACCAATGCCTACCAGAAAGTTGATGTAAGTATTTTGTGTGTGCATGTGTGCATGTGTGTGTGTGTGTGTTTTTTTTTTTTGTTATGATGCTTATTAAGTATTGGCTTCTCAAACAACATTTTTCATTGTATTATTTCATGGTGTTACTAAAACAGGTTGAGAAAGCCAAACAAGACGATGCACTCTCAGATCTAAGTGACATCTTGGGTGATTTGAAGGGTATGGCAATTGGTATGGGATCTGAACTTGACAGGTAAATTCTTTACTATATGCTTCAATAAATATTCTTACCAATGTGAATTTGTGTTACACGTTTGGCTGTTCACATTGTTGGGAATTACCTTGTTTTATTCATTGAGTACAGCAACCAGTAGTTTAACTATCATCTTAGAACTTATATTTTATCATGATATATAATTTTAGTCCTGTATTTATTTTTATTAGTTAAATTTTATTAAAAACTATTAAAATCTAAATATCGGTTAGAATTTATTCAATTAGAAGAGTTAGAATTTATTCAATCAAAAGAGACTTATTATTAAATAAAGTATGAAATATCAAATTTTATATTTTTTTAATAAATTTTAATTAATTAGAGGATGTATATTTAAAAGAGTGTGTTGTTAGTATTTTCCTTACTAAATTTCCCTTATAATTATAGAACTTAGGATTGTAGTGTGAAAGATAAAATTTCACCAATTGTAAAATACACATAAAGATCAAAATTACCATTTTTTAACCATAAGAATTAAGATCAATTTTGACTTAAAAATTGATGGACTTTGAACATATTTTTTTATCCAACAAAATACTATGAGTGTTGAAGCAGTTGTCATTATCAAGAAAGATATGGATGTCATAAATGACATCTTTATAGTTGTTTTATGTGAGAGAACTACTTGATTCACTAATTTTGAATCTACTATGATAAGTGCAGGCAAAACAAAGCTCTTGAACATCTTAGTGACGATGTGGATGAGCTGAATTCTCGAGTCAAAGGTGCAAACCAACGTGCACGCAAGTTAGTTGGGTAGTGAAGTGACATATGACAGACTGAAACTATTGCTCAATTGTATATTTGTATGTATTTATTTATTGTTTGTGATTCATTTGTTTGTTTTTAAATTTTCCACATCACTGTATATTACCGAAAGCATATGGCAAAGTGGTAGAGATTTTGTTCCTGTTTGAAATTGTTCTTTTTTTACCTTCCAACAGTTCCTTAGAGAAACAACAAAAAAGGAGTAGGCAAATGTATCATATCTAGTTTAACAAAATGGTTCAACTGAAAACAGATGTTAGGAAAAGCTACAGCTTTTAAATAGGTATAATGCCGTAGTAGTTATTCAATTTATAGCAAATTGTCCAACAAATTAAAACTAATTTAAAAAAAAAAAAAAAGACTAAGAACGCACAATGAAAAACCAAGTGTCTAATGACTAATGTATCTTTTAATTTTATCGATTATTATTTTTATTAATAAATTTGATTGATCGACTATTTTTAATAGGGTTCCTTCCTTTAACCATTTTTTTTAATCTACAAGGTTTGATCTTGAAGTCTTAATTAAGAAATTTAAACTTAGTTTCATTTAAACTAATATGATTTATTGGTTGAAGTTGTTTAGTTTAAGGTTTTTATTTTAATTACTAAAATGATACTTTGTTTTCACTTTGTTTCATGTTTTAAAAGATTTAAACAATAAAAAGTGAAAATAGAAAATAAATTTCACTAACTAGATAGTTTAAATACCTATGCGTTAATAAAACATTAATACTATTGGTAAGGATTTTGCATGTGCTCAGTCATTTGAGAATGTCTAACGACTAACTACCAGCAAACGATTCTCCTTAGGAGATTGACTTGAGGAAGAGACTATGTTCCTCACAATTATTAAGTGTTGTGAATGGTTGGAAAACTGGAAGAAACTTGTAAATAAAGTGATAAAAAAAATAATAAACAAAGCGATATAATGCGAATTTAAATTACTAAAAATATAGTATTAATTGATTGGCCAGAGACCTTTTGTACACAATAGTAAATTCAAATTTATAATCATTGAGATTTAGTTGTTTTACCTGAAAGATCACCCATTAATCATACGAAAATCTTATCTCAAGAGTCCAACATATGGTACTTCATAATAAAATCTAGGCATCCATCATATGCATTTCTCATTTCTTAAAATTGTAATCCTATACAAAAACATTTAATAAGATAATTTTTTTATTTTATAATCTTATTTTTAGCGGATAGGCTTTTCATATTTTTATTGAGTGCTTCATTTTCAAAAAGAAGTTTTTGAATTTTTCTTCTTTATGTTTATTATATACTCGAGATATCATGTGAGACATTGTTAGAAAAGTATCATAGAAAAAATCCTCCTCACATTAACTGAAGTATATTACTTTTTAAATTAACTCGGTTGTTGTGTTTACATTAGCCATTAAACATATGTTGGATTCTTCACCTTTTGAGTTACAGTTGTTGTTATCTAGATTTTTCCATATGGCCATTATATTCTTCTTTTTCTTCTTGTTATATTTTGAGTTAGGACATTCACCTTTTTTCATGTCCTAATTTCTTGTATTTAAAGCATATGATTTTCTTTGAGTTTTCTTTTGATAATTTTGTTCTTCTTTCTTTTTGAACTTTTTAAATTTTCCTTTTTTAATATTTTTTTAAAATTTAATACTTTGAGTTAACTTTTCAATTCTTTACACACACGCACGCACACACGCACATATATATTTTTTACAATATGGCATTTGAAGTATACTTAATCACACAAAACATTTTCCCTCTATTTTAACTTTCAAATTTGATTTATTTATTATTTTTGTGCATTTAGAAAACCTTATATTAATCAAACAATTTGACCCTGCAAGTTAGACTCATGCAAGATTAGAAAGTCTTACACAAATTTTTAGGTATCTGACTTTTGCCAAGGTCGTTTTTCTTTTCTTCTTCACCGAAACTTTCATAGCTCAATAACGAGAAGTCATGTTTAACAATTAGTTATACTCATTTTGAACATGTTTATCTATCATACATGATATCTATATTTAGGCCGATCTCCTGATTTTTTTTAAGGTTTTGACAAATTAACTAAAAATATACTATTTCCAATTATTTAAGTATTATTCTTTTATTTTTTTTGTAAAATTATTAAGATATCAAAAATATTTTTAGGACCATTTGCAATAGACATATCTCATTTAGTAATATTTTTTAGTAATTTATCATGTAAATCACTTATAAGATTATTTTATGTTCTTAGATCATAAGTGTCTGATTAACTATACTGAATAGGTTGTTAGTGTGAATATGTTAATTTTTATCATTAATATATTCAATTTTATCATGATGATCATTTTCATTTCATTATTTTCAACTAAAATATCTTATTCTTCATTATTATTGTATAGTTCTTAATTCTCAAATTTTTTTAGCTTTAGAATCTAGATTATATATATTTGCATCATTTCGAACAAGATTTATAGGATGCTTAACAAAAAAATTTATCAAAGTATGCATCCTTTTGAGAATCAATATCAAGTCTAATTTGTTTATTTCTTTTCCATTTTGGTTGATCAGAAAGTTATTTTTTGTACAACATGTTCAAATCCAAACAATTAGACAAGTATAGACAAAAAACTAAATTATAATTTATGATTCAAATTATGGATCTCTCATATGTGCTAAAATAATGTTCGACCAATGAAAGTCACGTTCTATCTTGTTAGTGTAGACAAGTTATTAGTTGACAGTTTTGGGATACTTCATGAATCATGTCTATGAACAAAAATGATTATAAATCTTTTATTAAATAAATGATAATGAAATGAAATAATAATACCTAATTGTTTATTTTTAAACATTCATCTTGAGCTCTCAATTTTTTGTAATGAAAGAAAAAAAAATAATGATAGTGACAAATATTACAAAGAAATTTGCGATGACTAATAAATAGATATTTTAATTTGATTTTACGATTCTAGCAATAGTAAGAAAGATTACAACTAAGAGAATATAGAAAGAATTGAAGGATTATATATATATAGAGAGAGAAAATTACACTCCTCTTCCCTCGTTCTCATTTTTATGTTAAAAATTACAATTTCCTCAGCAAATTTTATTGGACGACACTTTACTAATTTTTTTTATTTTCATTAAAGTTCAATTAAAAAAATATATTACCAAAACATCATTTTTTTTGCTAGTGAGAAAATAGAAACAATAAAAAGAGGAAAGAAAACAAACTAACTGCCCTCAAATACAAAGTTTCCATCATATCATTTACACTAACATATATTTAAATAAAAAATATATTTTAAAATCTTGTAATAAATATTTTTTATTAATGTTAAGTTAAATACTTTAATTGTATATTTTAATATAACAGGAGGAAAATAATATAATATTAATATTTCTAAGAAATAAAAAAATTAATTTAATTTATATTTTAACATATGAATATAGATAATGGTGAAAATAATATTTATATTTCTTAAAAAGGGAAATCAAATTTATCTTAATAATATAAATTAAATAGATTAGATTATATATTTTAATATATAAAATAAATGAAAATATTATACTCTTTATCTATATAAGTTTGCAAAGAGCAACATAATTCGTCCATCTTTCCAACATGTGAAAGCAAATAGTGGCGTTCCTGAAGATGGGTTGGGATCTAGGGTTCCATTGTTGAAGGGGTAAAAAAATATTATTTAGTTTATATAATATAAAAAAAAAATATTAAAAATCTATCAGATAAAGTAAAATAATTACAAAAAATGAACTAAAATCAATTATTTCACTAGTCAACAAAAATTTATCAATAATTTAACGTAAGATAATAAATAAAAATTATCTTTAATTTTTTCTTTTTTATTTATCTCTAATTTATTTTTTATTTATCTCTAATTTATTTGATTTTCTTTCTATTTTTTAAATCATGACCTAATTAACTCTGATTAAATCTTAAAATTTCATTATGAATCTTCATCCTTCAATTGTGAACTTCTTTATAATATGTCATCATAATTGATTTTTTTTTTTTTTTGCATAATGTTAATTCATACTCTTGTAAGAATGTATTGTATGTTTAACTTTTTTTATGCAACTATATTTAATTGTTTGTATATTATACTTTTAGGCTTAGAAATTAGAATCATAAATAATATTTAAATATTTATGAGGATATTATCTTTCACTTCACTCAAGACACAAAAAACTCAGGATTGACTTGAAAGTAAAAACTTCTCCTTTATAGGAACCAACCTTTAATATTCATGCTTGTAATAAAAAGACTTTTTACACAATTATATAAATGATATTTTCTCAATCTCATAATAAGTGTTTTATAAGAATAAAAAAAAGTTTAAAAATAAGTGTTATTTTAACGTTTTAATATAATATTAATTATTTTTTTTCATTTTGTACTTCTAATAATATTATATCTTTATAATATGATTTTAGCTTTTATAAAATGAGAGAAATTTGATTTTGATAAAAAGAATTATTTATTATTTTTTTAAAATTTAAAATTATTATCTTTAATCTTTACTATTATGAAACTTTTGTTAACTACTTATATATTTATTAAAAAATTGTGTGACCATTCTAATAATGTTCATAGTTATATTGATAGCACGTTATAGTAAGAGGTATCTCTATTTTTTTTTTATAAAAATTTAAAAAATATTATTTATTTACCTTAAAATAAAGGTTAAGAACTAAAAATAGTAATATTAGATTTTAAAACAATAAAATTTTTAAAAATATATATATTTTACAGACCAAAATCAAATTTTGTTAAATTGTTGGTGTCTTTTATTTATTCATTAACCTTTTCGCGCGGTGTAAAAATCATAACGACAACTTTTATTATTATTAGATGAATTGAGTAAAAGAGTACAAATGTTCCTATTTTATGAACATTTGCTTTGTCATTAGTTATTTGACTTGATAGGTTTTTCTGTATTTTAAGATGTGTTGCAAGGTACTTATATATTGCATCTCATCATATATTAATTGCACATGTGCACCCTATTCAAATTTCATGTCATACCCATACAGTAGACCAGATGAAAAAAATTATATATAAAAAAAACCCATACTCTGCATGAATCCAACAACTAGGAGCCCATACAATTTGGAAATTTGCTCCCTCCCTCAATCATATTTACAATAACATTTAAATGATTGACAACATAAAATAAATTTACACTGAGTATATTAGTATTGCACTCTATTTATAGTGTCTAGTGTGTATGGAAAGAATCATCTTTTATTACTAGAGTAGAAAATCTTTTTTTTTTCTTTCTTTATTTTGCAAGTCAAACAATAACATCAGGAAATAATGTAAGAGATTATTTTAGGTTTACGTCATGGTTACCAACTAGTCAAACACAAGCATCCACACACATAACTATATTCATTAAAAGCATGAAACCTAAAATGGGTCCTTTCTCCATTTCTTCCAACTTTCCCTTGTTTGGCTAAGCCGGGAAGTCACAAGCCTTTGAATTCCACGTTAATGTAGCCAGCCCCATCCCAACTCTCTCCTCCTACATACACATATAAACTTCATGACTCCTTTGATGATGAGATGTGATTGATGACTAAATACACAAAACCCAAAATTAATTGAGTGAGGCCCCTCCGTTTTCTCGGTCATTACACACCCTCATGTGTCTCTTGCTTTGCATTAACACTCTTCATTTCCCTAAGGTCACTTCACCCCCTTTTTTTTCTCTATTTTTTCCCTTAACACCTTCACAAGTATCAATCACTTTAGTTTTCTCCCCTGTTTTCCTCTGTTTCGGAAATGAAGAGCTCTCTATCTTCAACCACATGTGGCAAGCTTATGATCCTCTTGCTCCTCCTCCTCCTCTTTCTTTTCTCTTCAGCCAATTGCAAAGTTCCATCGTCTTCCACTTCCTCAGGTAACAACCATCACCCCCACTTTCGTTACTGTGACTCTTTTACCAAGAGAAACACACGTTCCTTGTGCATTTCACTTCAAAGGATCCATCAAAGACTACTAACTCAAGCAGTTCCACCCTCCAAGGAGAATGGAATTGACCCAAGATTTGGTGCAGAGAAGAGACTAGTTCCATCTGGGCCAAACCCACTTCACAATTGATTATACCAATTCCCTAGCCACCAATTTCACCACAGTTAACATCCTTATTAGGCATATATATATATATATATATATATATATATATATCTTTGTTCTAGAACCAGCATGTACAACTTCAATAAACCAATTTCATCTCACCCTTTTGTGAATTAAGTCAAAACCCTTTGATTCTTTCTTCACTGTTCATGACTACCACCTTTCTTGGTAACCTTTATGGCTCTAAACACACGTTTAATCTTCATCAAGTTCTTGCATACCCACATGGCAAGAAGATGGAATATTCATGTATCAATGGCTAGAGCTACTATGGCATGCAGAAAGAAACAATCTTTGGGGAGGTTACCTGTTCAGTCTCCAAGAACCATGATTAATATTATCTTTTTTTTGGGTTGAAAAAAAAGTGGGAGATCCGATATACTATCGATTAAAGCATCAATGACATGTTGGAGTTATCAGAAGCTCAGAACCAAGATTAATATGATACTTAGATGAAGGTTCTATAAGCTTGTCTTTTATTTTTTGTGTGACAAAAATTGTATATTGTATTTAACTTTTTTTCTTTTCACTTTAGTATTATTGGGCAATACCCTTTTGGCCATTTCCATGCTTGTTTTTGGTTCTGTGGTCATGTAATTAAGGACTAGGGTTTGAGAGAGGATAGAGAATGTTGTAGAAAAGAAGGGCTGAATCTGAAAACAAGCATGGAAATGGTCCTTTATGGGGCAGCTTTGAAGAGAATATGGTTGGAGTTGTAGGTCACGATGACCCCATGAGTTTCATTAATATGGAGCCACCAAAGGACAAGGACGTATCTATTTATGGTTTCGGTCTGTTTCTCAGGTCAAATTGGGCTCATTCTTTACACCATGTCGGTCAGCAACATTTTGTCTTTTTAATTTCTAAATATTCCTTTATAGTTAATATTTGATTTAATGGATATGCATGGCTTCCCCTATGTTGTTTTTTTATTATGCTTACGTGTATCATATTATTATTATCATTATTTTGACAAGTTATACATATTTCTCAATTTATTTGATACAGTTGGGTGTGTATAATTCCTGTCCACTATGATTGAAAATGTACATCAATCACTATTAAAATTCATACAATATCTTCCCAACAAATGCAGATGGGTGCATGCTTAATAGGAATCAATTTCGGTGTGAAACGTGGTTTGCAAGTTTCTGCTTAATTAGGTCATAGAAACAGGTGGAACCTCAGCACTAGCCTCTAGAATATGTGGATATGGATTTTAGGGGTAGGCCTACTTGGCTACCTAGTTAAGTGAATTTGGACAAACAAAAAAGAAACATCAATCTACGGGTACTCTTCGTATAGAAAATATTCTAAATGTGATGATTAAACTCCTACTTGTATGTATGAGTACTTTTCCCTAGAATTGCTGTTATTTTTTTTCTATTCCAACAAACGTTAGGAGGATCGTTAACAGCAAAAACCGGGAAAAGGAAATGAAGAACGCAATGTTTTTAAAATGGATATATGAACAGTTGTGACTTGAAAATGAAACAGGAGAGAAATTACAAGTCTTATATTTGTGTGGCATTCAGTGTGTGGTTATAATTAAAAGGATCATCATTCATCATACTTAGAAGTGGAAAGATTGATGATAAGAAAATATACTTAACAAGAATAGTTAATTTGTGCTTGTAAGTGACAAACAGCATGTATATCTATATATATAAAAGAAGCAAGGTTTCCAAAGCACAAATAATAACAAGTTTAAAAATGTAACATAGGATATGTAAAAGCATTCCTGATAAACGTTGTGAAGAGTTCATGCACTTGATCGTCTTGGCATGAGTTTGATTTGAGGTATCTCGTGTTTGGTAAGTGTTGTGAGTTTTCATATTCTTAGGATATAATCACCCCGTAATCCTAATTTGTTTTGGTGCCAAAATTTTCTGTGTCTCTAATTTTTTTCTCATACATATAATAGTTTACATAATATTTCAAAATTGATAATTAATAATTAATATGTGTTAGTGAGACGTGAATTTCATTGATAAAGTATTATAAATAAATAAAATATGTTTAAACTGGTCATTAACAAGTTATGAAAAATAACTTCTAATAATAATAATTTTCTGGAATTTTTTAACATGAATGTTATAATTTATTTCCATTTGTTGCAAACCATTTTTTTTTAATATTTTCCGAATGTATTAATTCATAACTGAGGTCAAATTTAAGTTTAGTTGAACTCATTAAATAACCGAAATCATATGATCGGCAGTTAAGCTCATCTTAATTAAACTAACGAGTCACCTAAGTTGTTGTGAGTCTTGTATTATTAATCGAACATTTTATGCTCAATGAATTATACTTGAAGTAGTAACGTAGTAAATCTTATATATATACACAAAGAGTGAGAGAGTGAGAGTAGAGATGTTAAATGACATGTTAACTCATCATACATTGATACTTTAAATGTGTTAATCTAATCTAACTTACTTTCTGGTAAGTAAAAAAAATTTTAACCCGACTTAATCCATCATAAATTCGTGAGTTAGATGGGTTGACTCACCAAATTTATTTAAAATAAAAAATTAATTACATGTTTTTATTTTTAATAAATAAAATAAAATAATAATTTTTTTATATATAAAAATCAAGTTTATCATGGATTTAAATACAAATATATAAGGAAATATCAATCAAAATTTCAATTAAAAATTA